TCCACAAAAACCTTTAAGAAAATGTAAAATGCTGTTTGTTGTTTAGATGTTTTATAAATATATATAAAATATGTCATTGTCTAGAGGTTTGACATATGTACAAGCTGAGAGTTCTGTGATTCTGAGCACACTTGTGAATTACTTGCTTTGGAAATTTGGGGGAGGGAGGTTGTTTTTTGGGGGGTTTTTTAAACTCTGCATAAAATCCTAACCGATCCACATGAAAACAATGTATTAAGCTTCTAATGGATTTGGAGAGCAAAACTGCACACTTCTGTGGAAACAACTTTGTGATACACAGAGTACTGTGTGTTTAATTGCTTAAGTCAGTGTTAAAAATGTGATCAGTATATATATTCTACCCATTTCCGGAAATGGAGTAGTAGAAGAATGTGCAGGGAAAGCCAGACATAAACATAGTGTAAATATTATGCCCCGACTTTAGCTGTGGATCACATCTGAGCTTATGTTTTAATATGCTATCAGACATGTTAAATATTTTAATATTCTTGTAGCCTTTTGTAGATACAATCTTAGATGGAATTGTTTGAGTATTTCAGTTCTGAAGTGTTATGACTTGTGTATTTTTAAAAAACCTACATTAAAAAATGTATACATGTTTTTAGACTAAATGTTGATTTGACTTTTGCAGGTTTGTTGCTGAAGGTCATATTCCTTACATAAATGCTTTTCAGTATTTTCCAGAGGAGATTAAATTGTATGGACTTGATCTCAAAATCTTTCGTGTGGAGGTATTTTTTATTTTTACTTAATTAGCTTCCTTATGTTTTGTTATCATTAGTAAAGGTACTGTCAAGTTGGGCTAAGCTACCTTTAAATTGTGACATTAATGTTTTGCATTCCTATTAGTCATTCAGGGGCAGTGGGCCCAATTTTTGGGATCACTTTCATATTTAAATTAATGTTGATTAAATAGTTAATATTTTGATAGGTACTGAACAGGTTTCTTACAGCTGCTTATTGATTATGTTACATTAGTTTATTTCCTGTGAAATACAAAAGATACATAATAGGATTAGGTTTTGCTTCCTACAAGGGCACCAAATGACATAAGTACTTGCTCAAAATATCTTTTAAACATTTTTTTTGGAGGTAATATCAATCGACTTTTAAGTATAAGTTACTGAGAAGGCATCTTACTCTGTGTTCTGCTGTGCTTGGAATTTATTAACAAAGCTGTCCAGAAAACTTTTGGTAGTGGGCAATTCTGTCACTGAGTTTTGTAGGCATACCAGATGGTTTGACATCTCCAGGTACTGGATGCCATAGTGAATAAGCCCTTTAATGATCATTTACGGTGTTAGTGTTCATACTGACTCTTGCAAGTGAATCATGAGATTACACCTGGTGGGAAGATTAAGCCATCCATAATACTGCTTTGTCAATGGATTCTGACTTTTTGAGGGCCTAGCAGAGGGACATGAAAATGGTTAGGGGGCTGGGACATTTCTTATGAGAAGAGGCTGAGGTAGCTTATTTAGTCTGGAGAAAAGAAAGCTAAGAGGAGATTTAGTAGCAGCCTTCAACCACCTGAAGAGTGGTTACAAAGAGAATGGAGGTAGATTTTTCTCAGTATTGGCAGGTGACAAAACAAGTAGTAATGATCTCAGTTTGCTGCAAGGGAAGTTTAGGTTAGATTAAAAAAGCTTTCATACTAGGAAGGTAGTAAAGTGCTGGAACAGGTTACCCAGAGAAGTTGTGGAACCTCCATACTTGGAGGTTTTGAAGACCTGGCTAGACAAAACCTTGGGTGGGATGATATAGTTGGGGATGGTCCTGCTTTGAGCACGGGCTAGATGATCTCCTGAGGTTCCTTCTGACCCTAATTTTCTATGATTCTGTATCTTCAGAGGCCATTATTAAAAGCTTCAAAAAGTACTGTATATCCAGTGCTGTGGATGGAGCTGGAGATGATGTTTTCGACTCAGGCTCCAATTGTCCCATCACCTGGCCTGGCTGGGGCCCCATTCACCCCTGCCTCTGACTCTGCCCTACCCCCTCCCTCACCACAGGGACTTTGATCTGCCCGTCCCACAGCCCTTCTCCCACAGACTCACCTGCTGGGTGTGTGGGGGGGTGCGCACGTGCACGCACTTGTGCACACATGCGCTCAGGCCTCCCCCTCAAAAATATTTTTTTCTCCCTCCGCCTATGTTCACAACCAATCAGATTTGGTTGAGTGCTCTTCCCATGAGATGTCAGGGTGGTTGAAGTCACCCATGACAGCCATGCACCGAGAGCATGCAGCCTCTGCCAGTTCCCTAGAAAATTCATGGTCAGGCTCATCCTCCTAGAAAGGCAGTCCAGCCACAGATCCTCCCCAGTCCCTCTGTGTGCCAGGGGGATGGCAGGATGTGCCAGGGCTGGACGGTATCTGAGCCAGGTAGGACCGAGGGACCTGCCATGGGCTGGACAAAGACCCTCCACAGACCGTATTTTGTCCACCTTGGTCTAGACAATAATCTCTTTAGTGAGCTGAAACTTAGCAAAGAATCCTATAAAAATGTGGAAACTTGGTCATAAAGTGCTAGGGAAGAGCATCGTATAGGCATATAGGGAGAAAAGTATGAAGGCCAAGGCATGATTTGAGATGCAACTGTCAAGGGCTATAAAAGGGATTCTGTAAGTAAGTCGAAAGTAAAAGGAAGACCAGAAAAACCACAGGTCCCTTATAGAGCACAGAAGGCAGTTTAGTTTATGGATGATGCAGAGAAGGCTGAACTTTTTAATATTCCAATCTGAACAGATGGGCAGCTACCATATAACAAGTGCAGTTGGCAGCAAATGAAGGGATGGAGACAAACAGCTTAGAGTAATAGAAGAACAGGTTAGGGATTATGTAGAGAAGTTAGATGCTTTCAGGTCGGCAGGTTCAGATGGGCTCTACCCTAAGGAACTGAAGGAATTGGCTGAGGTAATTTTGGAGCTGTACACGCTTTGAGAACTTGTGGAGGTTAGCTGAGGTGTGGGCTGCCTGGAAAAGGGCAAATATAGTCCCCATCATTAAGAAAGGGAAGAAAGAAGATCTGGGGTGAAGGAGGATCAGCCTGACCTCGATATCTAGAAAGATCGTCGAGCAAGTCCTCAAGGAATTTGTTGTGATGCGTATAGAGGAGATCAAGGTAATCAGGAAGACCCAGCAAATCACCAAGAGCAAGTCATGCCTGGCCAACCTGATTTCCTGCTATGATAAAGTGGCAGACTCTGGGTGGGGGGAGAGGAGTGGATATGATATACCTTGACTGTAGCAATCAGGGCTCATGGTAGAGGTGATATTTTTTTGCACCAATCTTGTTGGTCTAATAAAATTTCTTTAATTGCAAGCATTTGGGCGCAAAAACCCATCATCAGGCATTGGAGAAAAAATTGTAAAAGTTCTCCCGGGTAGAAATGAAAGTTCATATTTTATAGGATTTCACAGCGGAAATGTTTTTGCAAAAATCTTGATCTAATAAAAGAGATCACCTCTACCATGAGCCCTGATTGCTTTTTCCTGTAGACCAATCCGGCTACAACCTGGATACTTGACTGTAGCAAGGCTTTTGACATTGTTTCCAACAACATTTTTATTAACAAGATAAGGAAATGCAGGCTAGATAGAAGTTCTATAAGGTGGATACGTAACTGGTTGGATCATCGTGCTTAATGTGTATTATTCAGTGTCTAGTTGAGAGGAGGTATCAAGTGGGGTTCCCCAGGGGTTTGTTCTGGGTCTGGTATTGTTCAACATCTTCATTAATGATTTGGATTATGGGATTGAGTGTACGCTTAGCAAATTTACAGATGACACCAGGTTGGGTTGAGTTACAGACACTGGGGGGCTGGGCTAGGATCCAAAATGACCTACATCGGTTGGTAAGAGGGCCTATAATCAATCAGATGAGATTCAACAAGGACAAGTGCAAAGTCCTGCACTTGCGGTGACATAATTGCATGTACAAATAGTGTGGTGAATAGCTGGTTAGGTTACAGAACTGCAGAGAAAGCCCTGCATCATTACAGTAGACCGTAAGCTGAATATGAGCCAACAGTGTGCACTTATTGCCACAAAGGGCCAACAGCGTCCTGGAGTGTCACTTGCAAATCAAGAGAAATTATTATTCCACTCTGGTCAGCACTGATGAGGCTTTGCCTGAAGTACTGTGTCCAGTTTTGGATCCCACACTTCAAGAAGGATGTGGACAGATTGGAAAGAGTCCAGCACAGAGTAATAACATTAATCAGAAGCCTTGAAGGTAAGACCTGTGAGCAAATGCTGAAAGAGCAAGGGTTATTTAGTTTGGAGAAGAGAAGATTGAGGAGGGATTTGATAACAGTCTTCAAATACCTGAAGGGCAATTAAAGAGAGGATGGAGATGGACTTTCTTCTGGCTGTAGTAGCGGATAGGACTAGGACCAGTGTCCTCAAGATGCATCAAGGAAAATTTTGGCTGGAGATTAGGAGGAATTTTCTTACACTGAGTGTGGTGAAACATTGTAATAGGCTACGTAGAAAAAGTGTAAAATCTCCATCTCTGGAAATTTTCAAGAGCAGGTTGGACAGACCTGCTGGGCTGATTTTATTTAGGCATTATCCTGCCTTGAGCAGGGACCTGGACAAGATGACCTTGTGAGGTTCCTTCCAGCCCTGCTTTCCTATGATCCTGTAATATCGTGCTCACTTGTCTGTAGTTCCCTGGATCATCCCTTTTACTCATTTAAAAAATTGAAATTGTATTAAGAGTCCTCCAGTGCTCTGGAATTTCCCCCATTTTCAAAGACCAGTTTAAAAAGCAAAGACCCAAACAAACTAGAAGTAATGGTTCAGAATGCTCCTCAGTTTATTCCTTTTAAGGTTCTTGTGTGTAAATCATATGAAGGTAAGGAGGATGCGGCAACCTCTTTTTTACAGAAGGTAAACTCTCTCCTCATGATACAGGATGGCTACATGCTCTTTCATTCCAAGTATCTTTTGAATAGTTTGGCTTTTTGGCATCCTCTAAGATTTTCCCTTAGGTGGGTCTAGGCAAAGCCTTGGTGAAGGGGTGGGGGAAAGGGGACAAAGTCTGGATAGACTGTTAATTAGTCTGGATATACTTTGCTTAAGAATTGTTTTCCCTGAACATCCACTCTGCTGCTGTGAGAGACAGGCCACTTAAGGGACCAAGGATTAATCTTAAAATTTACCTTCACTTGGCATCTCTGATTTTTTTGAGGGTTTTTTGGTGGGATTGGGAAAGAATGGCACTTCCTATATTCTGTATGTTTGTATAAAGTTAGTCATCTGTTAAATATAGCTGAACTGCAAAACAAGACCAAGTTTTCTTTAGGCTGGAGTATTTAGAGGTTTGACCCTGTATTTTGTCCCTCTGATTCTCATACTTTTAATCCAAGGTACAGTTAAAAGATGGCTGTGATAATTGTGGCCTGTGAATATTTTCTACCTTATGACCACCTAATATCTTGATTGCTCAATACAAATGATCAAGTTAAACAGATGTATGCCTTGAAAATGCAGCAGAATCAATACATCATTGTTTGACTATACTAAAAGTCATTTTGTTTTGTAAATCTAATTGTCAAGTTTTACTTACATTTAAAGAAGAAAATCAGTAGGGTTTTTTTCCTTGTGAATGTTGGGGGCAAAATAATTGTCAGTTAGCCTGAAGAGGAATATAAAATGAGAGAATTTCAAGGCATTAAAGACAAAATATTACACAACAGTTTTGATAATTGCCTATGGTACATAAAA